CACCCTATCTCGTACCCTGCTGTCTATACACCCTTCTGGTGCTCCAACACCCTATCTCGTACCCTGCTGTCTATACACCCTTCTGGTGCTCCAACACCCTATCTCGTACCCTGCTGTCTATACACCCTTCTGGTGCTCCAACACCCTATCTCGTACCCTGCTGTCTATACACCCTTCTGGTGCTCCAACACCCTATCTCGTACCCTGCTGTCTATACACCCTTCTGGTGCTCCAACACCCTATCTCGTACCCTGCTGTCTATACACCCTTCTGGTGCTCCAACACCCTATCTCGTACCCTGCTGTCTATACACCCTTCTGGTGCTCCAACACCCTATCTCGTACCCTGCTGTCTATACACCCTTCTGGTGCTCCAACACCCTATCTCGTACCCTGCTATCTATACACCCTTCTGGTGCTCCAACACCCTATCTCGTACCCTGCTATCTATACACCCTTCTGGTGCTCCAACACCCTATCTCGTACCCTGCTGTCTATACACCCTTCTGGTGCTCCAACACCCTATCTCGTACCCTGCTGTCTAAACATCCACTACCTTCATCCTTTGGCTTGGCAGACAGGAACTGTTTTAAATAAAAGTGTATTTCATTGTTGCTTTTATAAAGTGCCATTTTTTTAAATACTTTTATCGAAATACTGTCTTAAAATACTTTCATAATAATAGACTTTTGATATGGGTAGAGCTTAGTTACGTCAAGCTATACAAACATGTACTTAACTGTAAATAAACTGAAACAGCCACGATTCGGTAAGGAAATGGCTGAAAAAATGTAATATTGAAATTTTAGAGATTATCATTCTTGGTGTGAGAATAATCAGCAGTTTTACATTGAGTACAATCATCCTGTGAGAGTTCGCTTTTCATGCGCTGTACCTTTCATCTCAGGTCTTAAATTACCTTCAAACGTAGGTTTTGTTTCAGTAAACTTTACGATCACTGGGGCTCTGTGTTGTGATATTGTTCACCCATTCCCCAAAGAATGGGAGAATAACTTCAGTTCCTTGGATTAAGAGCCTTTGACAAACATTGCTGGTGTGTGTGTTACTGGTCAGGTGGATGGATGACTATAGGTGTTATGTTTGGATGGTACTCGGTCTATAGAGGGGGGCACAACGCCCCCTCTGTAGACCGAGTAGCTATACACCAGACCATCCAAACACGTAACACTTAGGATCATCCATCTACCTGACGAGGATCACACACACACACACATTCTCTGTCAGCTACTTCCTCCTTCCTTTATTTTCCTCTCTTAACCCTTGTACACCTATTTATTCTTTACCATCTTCCCCTCTCTTATTCCCTCAGCTTTCACTACCCTATTCTCCCTATTTTTCCTTGTATCCTGCACCGGCTCTTGGTCTCTCTTATCTCCCCAATCGTACTCCCCTTCTACCTCCCACTCCCTTCTTTTCCATTCCGTTCTCTGGTTCCCTCCATTCTACTCTCCCTTTCTTATGCTTCCCTTCTCTTTTAACTTTATTTTTCGTCAGTCTCTTCTTCCCCCCCTTCCCCTCTCTCTCTCATTCCCCTCTTTCTCCCCAAGTTGTTAGCTACGACTGAGATTTTCTTTCCTCTAGGGAACGCCGCTGTCGATAATTCCAGTTATTCCCAGATGGAACACCCTGATTCCTGGGAACACTCTTCGCCGCCCTCGTCAACCTCGCCCAATTCCTGATTCCTGGCTTCCCTTCGAGATGGAATGGGGTGATTTGTGCCACCAGAGTCAAGGGTCTGCTGCAACATTTGTCACTCATGTTTTTTTCCCGTGTTTTACCCATCGAGGAAATACAATTTCGGTATCGTCCAAGTGCTTGGTCAACCAGGCTGTGATGGTAAGATACATGTGGAACATTTTGGTATCTGTAGTCGAAACGTTGTGCCTGCCCAGTAGGCTTTATCAGTGGAAGAGAGAGGCGATTATTCTGAAGACAGAAATATTGTAATCGTTTCAGATTTCAACTCGTGAAATTTGCTTAGTAGGCTAAACCTCCTGACAGTAAAGATGCTTTGGGTGTTCCATATGTCTCTGTCTCTATCTACATGTTTGTGTTGTATGCTAGTAACATGACAAGCTGTGATGAGGGATTAGACACACTGCAACACCTGGATATTTTGATTGGAAAATGTTTCGCCAACCAGTAGCTGTATCAGTTCAGTAAAGAAATAATTTGGTGGTGTTGAAAGTGGAGACAGTGGAAGGTAAGGTAATCAGTCCCTCAGCCTTGTAGTACACACAGAAAACATCTCGAAGATGAGGTAATTCTGCAAGGTGAGGGGCTGATTACATCACCTTCTGTCTCCAACACTTTTAGATCATCTCTGTATTGAACTGATAAAGTCCCTCAACTAACTTTTAGTTGTAAAACACAAGGTCAAATTACCGTGGCTGTAACAATTCATAAAAAAAAAAAAACATGGGAACTTTGTGACGAGGTTTTGGAAAACTTGTGACGAGGTTTTAGGAACCTTGTGACAACGTTTTAGGAACCTTGTGACAACGTTTTAGGAACCTTGTGACGACCCCGTTTTCGGTTCATCCTCAACCATTGTCAAGTTAGGAATAGAATTCTGACGTTGACTCTATCTCTCTTTTCATCCACGGTTCCTCACACTGTGTAGTTCCTTGGCTAGCGTCACTGAGAGGAAGAAGCGGCAGCAAGGATGGCACCAGGATTGGTCGGCTTTGGACTCCCGCCTTTCAGATATCCTTGGATTTATTCCTCCTTATCCTCGGATTCCAGATTCTGTGAGAATGAAAATACAGGATTGATACGTGAATTTTCGAGGCGAGATGTTTGTCTGACAACCCTATATTAGGGTGAATCAAAGCAACACTCAGAGTAAGCGGTTTAAAATAGTTTCGCCCACTGTAGATGTTTTAAGTATTTATAGCCTCTGTGTGGGCGAAATTTAATGTCTTATCGTGTGTGTCTGATTCTTATTTTTGTGTTGTATTGCTTCGTGTTTTATGGGAATAACGTAGAGGAGTAAGACACACGAGATATTTCGGATTGATCTGTTGCTCTCTCTCTCTCTCCATCTTATAGTTGCAAGAATCAGTGTTTTGTAGTTCCTTAGTTTGTTTACCTTTGGTGCAGTATTTCCAGTCTTCGTTAATAGCTGCTTCTTGTAACACTACCTACTTTCCCTGCTAACGAACCTTTCGTTATTTAACGTAACGTAACGACGCTTATGTAATCTCCGTTACCAATATTTAACTCCACCACTCCATTCCCCCCACCTTCATGCCCATCCACCCCAATATCCCCACCTCATCCTCCTTCCTCCCTGCTCTCCCCATCTCCACCCTCCCCGTCCTCATCTTCCCCATCGCTGCAACTCCAGTAGGGATCTCAACTGAGGTGGAAAATTAAGTCCAAGGCGGCGTGCGTGTGTTTAGGGACAGTTGGAGGAACCAGGATATCGAAACTCGTTCGGAAGCTGCTCTCTAGGACCTGGAGGCTGAAGTGCATCCAGAAGCTGCTCTCTGGAGCCTGGAATGCAGCTGGAGGCTGAGATGTATCCAGAAGCTGCTCTCTGGAGGCTAGAAAACGACTGGAAGCAGGAGGCTGAGATGCGTCCAGCAGCTGTTCTGTGGAAGACGGCCAAGACCCGTCCAGACCCCTAACCTCAGAAACTTAGAAGCTAGCTGCAGACCAAGACCTGTTCAAACCCTGGCCTCAGTAACCTGGAAGGCGGCTGGATCTCGATCGTGTGCGATGGAACGGAAAATGTCGCCTCCTCGAGTGTGTCTATGGGAAGATTAAGTTTGGGAGATGTTGTGGGTTGGATTTTGTTTCCAGGAGAAGGTTGGTGGTCTGGGGCCGTTCAGTGTCGATACATTTATGTGGTCTGGGGGTGTTTAGTGAATGGATATTCATATGCTGTCTGTTGGTCTGGAACAAGCAATTTATTGTTGGGATGTTGAAGTGTTGTGTGTTGTGTATTTTTAAAGACGTCTGTGATAGACTGGAATGAGGGGAAACTCCGTAACAAGTTGTAACTCAAATATTATGATATACTTAAGTTATTTTTTTAATATTAAATTTTAAATACATTCATTTTATAATACCTCTCAGTGTCAGTGTGTATTTTAGGCTAGTTATCGTCATCATGTGTTAAACGGGGTAACTTGTCACGAACTTGTAAAGTAGCTGGTCTCTAGAGGGGGGGGTGTTGTCTCTAGTGGGCTGGAAAACGAAATTCCAGGACGGTGGTGGCAGTGATATCACCATCCCGCTACCACAACCACCATACATAATCACCATTATTAAATCGTCACCATCAGCCAGCACTCCCACGAGTGGAGGAGTTGTGGCAGTTTCCTCATAATGGAGTTTATCACCTCGCCACCATCCTTGAATATATATCTACTCTCTTTTACCAAGTTAGACATTTAAAAAATGGGATGTTTGGGACAATCCTTACGAGACTACCGCTTCCATTACTGGTCAGATATAACACAGCCCTTCTATCACAAGACCCCACACCAACTTCTACCCTCCACTCCCTCACACTTTCCTGGCTCTTTCAATTTCACATATTGTGTTGTTTTACTGTTATATCAATGTTATTGTCCTTAATGTCAGGTACCCGGATGAGTCACGGCAGAGATCAAATTTGTTTTATACAAAGATTTAAACAGGGTTACATTAAGCTATTAAATTCTGAGACCTGTACTGTTTGTGTGGTTTATTTTTATGGTATTTCAAAGGCACTTACAGTAGGAAGAACCTTTATTTTGCGACGTTTCACCTACAGTGGGGCTTAATAAGCCACATTATGGGTGAAACGTCGTAAAATGAATTTTTCCAGGCGCTTGTTTTTCAATTACGACTGCTCTGATAATTATTTATCTTTTTTTAATGCTCAGTGAGTGGAAGTTGAGGCAGGTGTCAACGAGAGGTCCAGGAGCTGCAGCTATACCCCGCTCTACAGTGTATTAGCATTAAGTTGTCTGATGACTATTCCCACAGGTTTATCAATGCACGACGACGGATAGTACAGCCTCTCATAGACCAATCCAACCGTGCGGGAGCCAGTGGTAAGTCGTTCCTTAACCCAGCTCACGCCCACCCACGCCCACAGCCCCAAACGCCCATGGCATAACCACCCTCTTAAAGCTATAATTTTTTTATCATGTGTGGGCTTACGGGTGCTGAGGGCGTGGGTAGCACACACCAATCACAAGCCCACAGTCCTATCAACGTTCATAATCACCCACGCGTGCACTTCGCCCTCTTGCTTCACGCTTGCCTCTCCTGCCCGGCCACACCTGCCCTAAGGGGCAGCCAAGGAGTCACTGAGGGCCATGGGGAAGGGGGGGGTCTTGACCCTCAAGTCAACAGTATCACTATGTAAACAGACTCCACAGTCTTGTTCTGATGTTCATTACTGAATGGCCCCAGCTTCTTCATGGCTTCCTTAAGGCCCTGAGCGGATGCCCCGCGGGGCACGAGCTCCCCCCCCCCACAATATCTCCCCCACTATGGGGCCGCGGTGGGGCGTGGTGTCGGTTCGCACTGCTTCATATCTTAACCTTCGTTTCTTTCTCTCTCCTCCCAAAGGTTCATCAATGCGAGACGCCGCATAGTGCAGCCAATGATTGATCAAAGTAACCGTGCTGGTAAGTCAATCACTTGAATAAACAAAGTAAATGACCTCTTAGTCGGGCAACGAAGCAGTTGAAAACAGGAGAGACGATAAAGTTTCTCCTGTTCTAAACAGGAGAGACGACAGAAAGGTTTCTTCCATTAGCTGCGTTGACTTAACATGTTGGTACCCACCTATTTGTGGTTGCAAAGGTCGAGTCTCGGCCCCTGGCGACCACTGTAGTGTGTTACTAATTGATTACTGTGGTAGGAAAGGTGGTAGTGTCAAGTGTATGGAGGGAAGCATCGTTGCCTCTCTTTCTCACCAGGCACTGCTTATACTTCTCCTGCTGACAGGTGAATGGTAGTTCAACAGCCCAAGTCTTGAAATACTGAGACTACCTTAGAACAAAGGCGTAATTTTGTGATTGGTAGATAAGAATTTCCTACCTATTAACCTGACAACCAACGTAGATGAAGATATTTGAAGTAGAATGATTAGTAGATTTGAGAGATGGTCCAGGTGGATACCAGTGATTGGACAGAGATGGATCAGGCGGATGAACCCACCGATAGATTTGGGGAGAAGTGAACAAGGTGGGTAACAGCAGTTTACCCGAAGATGATCAACGAAGGTTCTTCCCGGAGAGTTGAGTTAGGGTTCAACACTCTTCCCTGACCTAACTCTCAACTTCGCAGCACTGATCCTCCACTAACTGCTTGGCCTACTGCATGTCTGCATGACTTCTAACTAAAGACTAACATTGATTCACTTCCTGCAAAAAGCATGCCCCATAAAACTAACTTGGAATGCAAATTGTACTTTGTAACTTCACAATATAAATAGATTCTTTTATGTATATATATACGTTTCTAAACCAAGGTTTTAAGTTCCTACAAGTAATGAAAGGTATAGATCTGACTGGGAATACTCATCCTCTCTAATAAAATACAAATTAGTTTTAACGCAAAAACAAACGTTAAAGTTAGTTTAAAATAATCTTTTCCTGAATATAAACCCGATGGAGGGGCGATAAAGGAGGAATGGAGTAAGAGAAGATGGAAGCGAGATGAATAAAGAGGGAATGGGGTAAGAGAATAATAAATGGTTGTGGGGGGAGGGGCGTTCACCCGCTCTCTCTCCTGACTTTTCATTCACCATTTCTGCCGCACATCAAATTAAAACCGCTCCCTAAAGTTTTCCATTTAGGCGGCTGATGAAAAATTCACGGTTGCCTACTTTCCATAAATGTTTTTCCATTTCCCCCCTCATTAACATGTTGCGAGCTTGTTTAAAACTTTCCTCGCGGCTGGGCGCCATTGGTCGCTAGCTGACTCTTAGAGAACCTCAATGTACCTGTAAACGGTCGGGGATCCCATTCTTTCCGGCATAGTTTTTGCCGTTGGCGAGGCTGCGTATGACACGGTAATGGGATAGCGATACACATGCCTGTAATGGTATTGTGGTTCATGATACACTAGTTGTTCAGTTGATGTTGTGGTTCTAGGCACATGCCTTGTGCTGGTGTTCATGATCCATGCCTTGTGTTGCTGTAATGGTGTTCACTTGGTGTTGTGGTTCAAGACACATGCCTTGTGCTGGTGTTCATGATCCATGCCTTGTGTTGCTGTAATGGTGTTGTGGTTCACAGTGTTAATGTAATCGCTACTGAGAACGATGGTAGAGTAACAAAATAATATTAACTTACCTTTCTTATATATATTTTTAAATGCGACTGAAAAAGCGTAACCAATATTTAATAGCATTTGAAAAGGCTTTTATAGTACGTGCAATTTAATCTTTGGATGTACTTTTTAATTGTATGTGCAAGAAACTTGTCATACAGAGGTAGCTTTAAAAGATAACTGAGATAAGTTACACACCTATTTTAACTTAAGCTAGAGATAGCGGATTCATAAATCTCATTTAATGCATTTCCATAGTAGTGGTTGAAAGTAAATGTTATACAGTGCCTGGGCAAGGAAGGGAAGGGTAGTTCTGTTTCCTTGGATTAAGAGCCGTTCTTGAAGGGGTGGGGAGAGAGAATGAAGGAGGTCTGCCACAGACCCACCAATAAATGGTTCCATGGTCTCCGACTAAGCCTTTTGTTTGACCCATTTCGAGATGTATGTCACACTCTGGGTAATCAGGTACTGATGAAGTTAGGTAGGTATCTACTATTTATATGAAGAGGTGTTGAAGATTCTTAATGCCTGTGAGTCTTGAATTATCACTAGGTTGTTGGTGAGCAGAGATTGAATATTAGTGTAAGACCCGGTATGAGACACAGATCCATTGACTGCCTGTTCAGTTAGGCTGTGAGTGCCAGCATCTCGTAGGCCTACATTAAAGCCTGGCTGATGTGACATTTTCTGCAGGCATTGGTTCAGTTTCCTCTTGAAAACTTCCACTTTATTGCAGCAGCAGAAGAGCATAACGTAGGTAAACTGAGAGGAAGGAGAGCGTAAACAAATGGCTAGTTGATTCCCTTCCCATCCGCTGAATTCAATGGAGAGCAAAGATAGCACGCAATGAATAGCATTTTGGAAAGGTGGAGGTTGAACGAGCCAGAGGCACCAGGTGACTAGAAGAACGAGAGTCCCATTAGCAGGACGCAGGAGGCTCGACCTTACACACACGCAGCTTCACATTCCAGGCTGCTTTGAATCCTTCCAATTAATTCTGGAGTCCGGGAGCTCTTGATGCAGCAGGGAGGAACGGAGATCATTTACAGTAAGAGTGTGCGCAGCCAGACCTTCCTCCCTACCTACCTTCTCGACAACAAAAAGGGAGTGACAAGATTTCTTTTTATTTATGTGAAGCGCTAAACCCATGTGGGTCGTTCAGCTCAGGAAATGGCTCGATCCCACGTCCGCTAATAGCTGGATACTTTATAGTCTCGCAGGCTTCCTCCTCAGGTTGATCCAAAAGGAAATTAGAGAAGCAATGGATGACTTCTCATGGTGTCACTGGTAGTACTACTAAAGGGTGCCCTCTTATAGGTGTTCGCAGGATTGGAAAGGAGCGGGTCCCTGGTCCCTCACCGTCACGTGGACACTGGATCCACTCCAGCTCTAAGCCGTAAAAACTTAGCAGCCTATAAATTTGAAGGTTCATGTCTGGTTGTAAATGTGACATTAGTGATGGTAAGACCTGGATAAGACAGAGAATTGGTATAGATAACTTAATTAATGTGATAATCGCACACTCCACCCACTGTCCCCCTTTTCCTAATATGATGTAATCCTATCGTCTTGCCATTTCTCACATTTTTATCCATCTCTTTCCTATTCGAAGTCTTCCTTGCTCTGCTATCTTCTTTCTCACTGATTCTAAATTCCCTTCCCACCTGCTCGTGCCCTCTGACTTTTTATGCCCTGCTCCTCCACCTTCCACAATTCTCCATTCGAAGTTGCTGCACAGCTTCTTATCCATTTCACCCTCAGTCTTCCGCGTCCCTTCCCCACCAGATCCACCTCTTTTTACCTCCAGGATGGTCCAGACTACAAAGGGAACGATTACAACTCGCCGCTTTGGTGATGGTCTCGCTATAAATAATAGTGGGGGAGGGAAGGCGTTGGTAGGGGGTAAAGGGGTATTATAAGGATTGTGGGGGAGGGGAAAGGGGCCGCCGTCAACAAGATGTAAATTTAAGCTGTGATTGTTCACCTGTGTTGTCAAGACTTGTGACGGAATTCTTTTCATAATTTGTGGCCTTTTTTTTTTCCTAAGAGGTGAACATCCTAAATAGCATTATGTCGGGAGAACTAGCTGCATCAACAGTTACTGTAAGACAAGTCTGTCAGGCTAATGGTGCTAGTAACATGCAATTCATTAAAAACACAACAGCCTAGCTGATCAAGAACTGTCGGGTTACTGGTCTGGCAATTCCTTTATATATTTTCTGGAGGAAAGTGGACAAATACCTCCAAGTGCCAGATCAACCAGGCTGTGATGGATATGTGGGCCAAAGGGCCGCTAGCAGTAGCATCCTGTTTGCCCAGATAAATCTGGCCCAAGGCCGGGTTGCAGGAGTAGGAAAACTCTAGAAACATTTCAAATGTTTATAAAAGAAAAAAGGGCGTTGAGAAGTCTTGGACCCCTAACATTTACCGAGTTATCTCTGAATATTTTTATTGCAGAAGTCCTTGAAGCACTCAGTGGACTGCAAATGTGAGAAAGAAAAGAACTCAGAGAAAACCTGGTAACTAAAACACAGTATAACAGACTGAAGAAAAAGTCAATCAATTATTAAACAATCACATCTTTGTCTTAACCAAAATCAAAATCAAAAAAGTTCTAAAACATCATTTCGTTCTCTCTCCAGATCTACTTAGGGCAGGTCAATACAAAAAGTAAAAATCCTTAAAGACCAGAGTAATGTGTCTGACAGGCTAGTCTACTCATGAATACAAGAACCAGAGTTTACCTTCCATAACACACTACACTTTACATTGTATAACACTAGTGCTTGAGAATGTAAGGAACACTGCAGCACGCCTACTGGCCCATGCAGGGCAGGTTCATGTCAACCCCCTGCTTAGACCAATGGCCCACCCAGTCAGGTCATCTCCACTTAAGGAAGGAGCACAGCATCTGACCCAGTAGCACCAGGTAGTCAGGTTCAACTCACACCCACCCACATATTTATCTATTTTTAAAACTACACAACGTCTTAGCTTCTATAACGGTACTCGGGAGTTTGTTCCACTCATCCACAACTCTATTACCAAACCAGTGCTTTCCTATATCCTTCCTGAATCTCTATTTTTCCAGCTTAAAACCATTGCTGTGAGTTCTGTCTAGGCTAGATATTTTTAACATGCCATTTACATCTCTTTTATTCATTCTTGTTTTCCATTTACACATCTCAGTCATATCCCCCCTAATTCTACACCTTTCTAGAGAGTGCAGATTCAGGGCCCTCAGTCTATCCTCATAGGGAAGATTTCTAATACATGGGATCAACTTTGTCATCCTCCTCTGTACGTTTTCCAGTGCATTTATATCCATTTTGTAATACGGTGACTAGAACTGTGCAGCATAATCTAACCAAGGATATATAGTTGAACAACCTGAGGATTTCTATTATTTATGCTTCTTGATATGAAGCCAAGGATTCTGTTAGCTTTATTGTGAATGCTTATGCACTGTTGTCAAGTTACTGCTATCCAGAACTCCTAAATCCTTTTCACAGTCATTAATATTAAGATCTACATTATTTAGTTTATATGTGGCATGATTATTACCCTTTCCAACATTTAGAACTTTGCATTTGCCTATATTAAATTGCATCTGACACTTCTCTGACCATTGCATCAGTCTATTCAAATCATCCTGGAGGGCTGTAATGTCCTCATTAGAATGAATTGGACAGCCTATTTTGGCATCATCAGCAAATTTGCTTATGTCACTATTTATTCCCTCATCTATGCCATTTATGTAAACTGTGAACAACAAGGGGCCCAACACTAACCCCTGTGGAACACCGCTTGTGATGTGCCCCCATTCTGATTTCTGCCCATTTATGCAAACTCTCTGCTGCCTATTTGTCAACCATGCCTCTACCCACAAAGTCTCACAAACTTCAAAAAAATAGTCACGAAACCTTAGTCATGGTATTCCATTTTGATATTACTATTATAATGGGGGAAACACTAAACCCAGAGAGGTGATAGAGCGACCAGCATCTAACGAGTTCCACAACTGTGCATAAGCTCCACATTGCATGTCAATACCCATACAGGGATACTTGCCAGTACTTTAAACATTATGTTCCCATGTAAAATGGTTATATATATTGTAACCACGAACGAGTAGTATTTAATAACACTGCAACTAGCTGGGGGATCGAACCCATGTTGTTTTAGCCCGCCTCGTGGTGAGCGAAAATTCATGACACTAACCCACTGGACCACAGAAGGATTGTATGGTCCAGTGGGTTAGAGCGTTGTGAATTTTTGCACACCATGAGACGGGCTAAAATAACACAGGTTTGATCCCCCGGCTAGTCGCAGTGTTGTTATTGATGTATATATACGTCTGTACGTCCACAGCAGGACTCAAACTATCAGAGTAACAAGTACTTCACCACAGAGCCAGACCCCAGATAAGTATGGGTGCCTAGATGTTTCTCAATACCCCCGGGCACCAGGCTTGTTTTCAAAGTTATTTCATCAAATCCTGCCACATGCAGTGGACAACGAAAGATTTGAAATGTTTAATTAGCAAACAGGTGAAATTATTTACAAACATTGTCTCTACGTCCACAGCAGGACTTGAACCTGCAAACTCTCTGAGTACACAGTACTTTACCTCCACCTATACTTATCTGGGGTAAAGTACTCTGTACTCTCATACAGTTTCAACGTTTGAGTCCTGCTGTGGACGTAGAGACAATGTAAATAATTTCGCCTGTTTGCGAATTGTTAAGCATATATACATATAGCCTCTCTTCACTTAACAATGGAGTTCCATTCCTAATACCACGTCTGTAAACAAAGAACATATTGTAGTGGGTTTATGTCATCCATCTTTGCACCATTTTTAAATATTTATACAGTAGTGTATTGTAATAAACAGAATAGAAAAAATCAGCTCTAATGTATATTATTTATTTATCAATTTGAACATGATACACAGAAGTACAAAAAATATAATATGCGAAAGCCATTTGAATGCATAGCATTACAGGTAGGCTTAAAATTAAGTAAGCAATGAAGTGTTCAGTGGTAAAATATTATTGTAAACAGATAATAATTAAGCATAAATGAGTATTAAAAAAACAGGTCGTATGGTTGCTTGCACTGCTGTACAATCGGCATTTATTTATGGGCAGGCTTAAAATTAACTAAGCAGTGATATATTCAGTGGTCCAAAAATTATTGTAAAACGGATAACAATTTAGTACAAATGAGTATTACAAAGACAGGTGATATGGTCATTTACTGTGTAATCAGTAGAATGGAGTATTCTGTTAGGTAATGAAGTTAAATAGTAACAAAGTTTGAATGGGTCACAGGTTGACATTTGAGATACAATTATTCAGTTGTGGGTGAGTAAGAGATTTTTGAGAAGACTTGAATTTATAAACAGGTAGTGTTTCTTTTATATTCACAGGTAATGAATTGCAAAATTTAGGGCCATTTATGTGCATTGAGTTTTTGCATAGCGTGAGATGGACACGAGGAACATCAAAGAGTGATCTGTGCCTTGTGTTATGGTACACAAATAACCCGCACATAAAAGAGAGAAGCTTACGACGACGTTTCGGTCCGACTTGGACCATTGACAACGTCACACTAACCAGAGGTGGAGCAGGACGGCTATATATAGGCAGGAAGAGGTGGTGGTAGTAGTAGTACAAGAATTGTATATAATACCGACAAGTTGAAATTAAGACACCCGGGCATCCCCATCGTGTTGTGCATGTGTCTTAATTTCATCTTGTCGGTATTATATACAATTCTTGTACTACTACCACCACCTCTTCCTGCCTATATATAGCCGTCCTGCTCCACCTCTGGTTAGTGTGACTTTGTCAATGGTCCAAGTCGGACCGAAACGTCGTCGTAAGCTTCTCTCTTTTATGCGCATCGTTCCAGTCACTGTATTGTGCCTTTCTGTTATGGTCATGTGTTCTGTTAAGGAGATATTTGAGGGGAGGGTTTATGTCAGAGTTAAGTGTTCTATATATGTAGTAGGTGCAGTAATAAGTATGGATGTTTTGAATTGTGGGTAGGTTTCGAGTTTTGAATATTGGTGGGGTGTGTTGTCTGTAGTGGGAATTTGTTATTCTGACTGCAGCCTTTTGTTGGGTGATTAGTGGTCTGAGAACATTTATTGCTGTTGAGCCCCATGCACAAATTCCATAGGCGAGAGATATAGGGCCGACTGTGGAACATAGTACTGTATCTTCGATAGTATGCCTACGGTGTTTGAAATTTGAGTCTATTATCAAGGTGGATTCCTAAGAATTTTCCCTCTGAGTTTTGTGATAGGTGATCCATTTATCATTATATTTAGAGACACATCTGTAGCTCTGTTACCAAACTGAATGTATTAGGTTTTGTCAATGTTTAGAGTAAGTTTGTTGGTCCTCATCCAGGTTGATATTTTCTGTAATTCGGTATTTACAGTATTGGCTAGCATGACTGGGCTCGGGTGAGAGTAGACGTATGTAGTGTCATCTGCAAATAGTGTGGGTTTGAATAGTTGCAATGCATTTGGTAGGTCATTTATGTATATGAGAAAGAAGAGGGCCAAGGACACTTCCCTGTGGGACACCAACTGTAATTGGCTGTGCGGAAGAGTTTGCCCCATTTGTGTTCACATATTGGCTTCTGTTGCTGAGGTATGACTTTAGGTACTGCCCTCTTATACCATAGTGCGACAATTTCATGTGGAGCAAGTCGTGGTCAACTGTATTGAAAGCTTTACCTAAGTCAATGAAGATCCCCAGTGGGACTTCTTTTTTCTCTATTGCTGTATAAATATGTTCTAGCATGTGGATAATAGCATCATTGATATTTTTATTAGGCCTGAACCCAAATTGACAGGGGTTGTGGGAGATGAGGTAGGAATAGATACCCTTATGGATTAATTTTTCAAAGGTTTTAGAGAGAGGGGTGTAAGTTGGATATTGGCCTATAGTTATTTAAGTCTGTGTGGTCTCCTCCTTTATGGATCGGGGTGACCCTTGCTATTTTGAGAACTGTAGGAAAGGTAGAGGATTCAATGGATTTGTTAAAGAATGTTGAAATGATTGGTGATAGCACCTGTGACACTTTTTGTATACAGTGGGTGGTAAGGTATTTAAATCTCCTGTTTTGTTTGTTGATAAGGGAGACTTCAGTTGGGTTAGTCGGAGCTAGGAACAGTGTGTTCGGGTAGTTACCAGTGAGGTAGTCATTGAGTGGGGTATCTGAGCTTGGGATTTTATTTGCAAGGTTTTTTTCCTATAGTGGAGAAGAAATCATTGAGTCTGCTGTTTCAATAGGTGGGAATTGGGGTTCATCTGGTTTTGTTAATTTCACATTATCTTTTTTGTTCCTAGTATTTCTGATAGGGTTTTCCAGGTCTTTTTTATGTCGCCTCATAAGTTGGATAATCTGTTCTCGTAATAGAATTTTTTAGCCCTTCTTATTAGGATTGACGAGTAACGTTTTGTTTGGGCTCTGGTTATATGGCGAATTCTTTACTGTTTTTCGTATTGGTGCTTTGTATTTATGGATACTGGGTGTTAGCCAGGGACTGTTTAGTCTCTTCGCAGTCATCTTTTAGTTTTTTAGGGCAATTCTTGTTATGGAGGTATTGGGTCTTTTTTAGAAAATTATTAATACTTTCATCAATATCTGTATAGATTTCTAGTTCAGTGTGCCAGTCAATGTTGCTGTGAAGTTATTGATAGCTGCCTCATTGTGAAGTCTGAAAGTGACTTTAGTATTGTGTAGGGGTAATTTGCCAAGGTTTGTTGTAAGGAAGGTAGGGTAATGGTCTGTGGTATTATCTGTGATTATGCCTGATCTTAAGGGGAGATTTATACTGAAGTCACCTGAGAGTAGTAAGTGATCTTTGTTCATGCGTGCATCAGTTATCATACTTCCTAGGTTGTCACTAAAATGGTTAATGTTTGACTGTGGTACTCTGTAGATGTTTATCACTGTGAGAGGTTTTTGGATTTGAATTTAGCTATTATATATTCCCTATGTTCATCCCTTGTGCAAGTATTAGTGATACATTCTAGTTGGTATGAGTAGTATATAGCTGTGCCACCCCCTTGTTGCTCTGGCCTACAGTTGTGTAACCTGGAATGGCATAGACATCAGTAGTATCAGGCTTTAGCCAGGTTTCGGTGAGAGTAATGATGGACATACTGGCAATTTAGCATTATCAAAAAGAAGCGCTGAGCCACAAGGGCTATACAGCGCTGGGGGGATTTAGTAATGCTATGAGGTCATCATAATGTTTAACTACAATATCAGATATTTAAGCAAAGACAGTTATGTTGTTGGCTCTGAGAAGTGCCTTTGATTGTTCTGCTGTGTAGTAATTACAGTTACTGTTTGATTCATTTAAGTCATTAGATAAGAGGATCAATGCTAGTTATCATAAGATTTATAGTGAATCTAAAATTAGAATTAAGTATAGGACAAAGTAAATATTCTAAATGTATTAAATATGCATACTGGTCAGAGAGCCCTTCGTAAGTCGCTAAGTGAGAAGAGGCTGTATATACAGTGGTACCTTGACCTACGAGTTACAAGCCGTCACTCAGTCGATTTTCTGCTTTGAATTGCAAGCCAAAATCCGAGTGAGCTTCAGATATGCCACCACTAGTTGGCACAGTAAACACCACAACAGTGCACATGGTTACCTCGCCATAGAAGCATTTTTCTTGTGTTATGTGCAGTTATTTTGCCAAATTTCTTTTTTTCTAACCATGGGCCTAAGAAAGTAAGTGCAAAGGACAGTGCTGAGAAGAGGATGATATCCACTGAATTAAAGCATAAAAAAAACCCCTCAAGGAAGGTTCCTTGATGTTGGTGAGGGGCTCTTGAATTAGGAAATTGGATCTGTGCTCCAGTTCCCCGAATTAAGCCTGAATGCCTTCCACATTCCCCCCCTCCAGGTGCTATATAATCCTCCGGGTTTAGCGCTTCCCCCTTGATTATAATAATAAAGCATAAAAACACGAGCAAAGTGTGCGTGTAGTTGAGTTGGCGAGGCAATATAAGCATACTTACACATAGGCTGGTCTCCTGACTGTGGGGGGGGGGGGGATTTCAATTTTTTTTTTTTTTTTTCAATATTTTCCTCATGAAACTAGTTATCTAGTGCAGTTAGCCTCACAAACACTCCATTTTCTCTTATAATAAGACCTCAGAAGGGCAAGATATTGTCAGAGCAATAATTATTCTTACCTCGGGAGTGGCCGCCACCACCACTCATCACATGACATTTTATTCATTCCAGAGTATATATCATGTTTCTGTGTTATTTTAGATCGATTGTGATAGATAAGCCATAGAGTTGATATTAGTGTTATATTGAAATATCTTCTGCCTACTGAGAGCCAGGAATTGCACTGGAAGGGATTAATGGCATTTCAATGAGGAAAATTGATTTGATATACGAGCAAATTGAGTTACGAAATGACAAACTCGAGTCAAGGTACCACTGTATGCCGAATCACCTTGTTTAACAAGAGTGTTCTCCGTTGAATTAGTGGAATGAATTATATTATGCCATAAAAGAATGGAAATGAATCTAAACTTAAAAAAAAATATATATACATATAATTGATTTGAAGTAATATTAAATAATCTGACTTGTGCTATACATAAATTCTGTTAATTAAATTATACTAGTTTGAGTGAGCTTTCTAAGTTTTGAACCATAAATAAAAATCTTTACATCATTCAGTAAAAGAATTTTTTGGAAAAGTTAAATTTTAAAGGGAATTCAAAAAGTTTGGCTTATTAGGTATAACATTATACATACAGCCTCTCCTGAGGAGATACCAAAATGGTAGTGGGTTTGTGTCAACCATCTTTGCACCATTTATAATATTTTGAGTATATTTTTAAATGTTTATACAATAGTGTACTGTATATTGAAATAAACAGAACACAGGAAATCAACTCTAGTATACATTATTTAGGTATAAATACTGGTCAGAGAGGCTGTATATGTATATATTGTTACATATGGTGGGGTTAACTTTAGCACACTGATCTTTTCTGGGGAATCAGTTTGAATATTGGCTTTGTCTAAGAGTAAATCTTCATACACAACAAGGGTATTGTGTAGCAGTGCTTCAATGAAAATTTAATTTGTTAACCTTCCTACTTTCTTGTGAGTGATTCAAATTCCAGAGTAAAATTATTATTTTTAATATTAAACTTAGATACTCATAAATTTATGAACTCGGAATTTAATAAAGGCCATTACCAGGAAAGCATAGATCCCAATGATAAAGTTTAACAATCATTAAGGTGTATTAAATAATCAATACCTCATTGATAACTCATAACAATCAAGAGACTTTTTAAATTATTCCACATCATAAACCAAACGGTTATCTGCTAAGAGATATCCTGTATTGTTCCATGCAAGAGACTTAAGTAACATTTCTTGAGTGCCAGGGAGAATTGTATTCATGGCCAAGGGCCTGAAACTACAGTGACTGTATACCCCCACATGAGGTCGGTCATGAATAGTAAGCCGGCAGCTAAACTAGCGTCTGGTCATCTACCTGGTGCATCAAGACAATTGCACCATTACTGGCAAACATACGTATATATAATAAAATTAAAGAGCAATATCCTAGTATCATGATACATGAGGTCAGATAATATAAAATTGGAAATCTTTACTGTTACTACTAGTGAAGAAGTCCACTATATAATAAGTGAAACCTCATAACTGGAATATACTCAAAAAATGTCAGGCATAACCTGTAACGCCTCTTCCACATGACTGATGGTCACACCAGGAAAAGTGATAAGGTTTCTACTTTTGTCTTAAATTATTTCAAACCAGAAAATATTTCACAAAGGATAAATCATTAATGAGCCATGCCACTCTGAATTTCAGTGTCTGTCACTATAACACATGCTTCATATACTTGGGCTGCGTATCTGCATACACGTAAAGACAGCAGTTTGTAGACGATCATGACCTCAAAGCTTCACAGTAGTGGATGAGACTACATCTGATCAGAAGTCTTGCATGACTAGAGATTATATTCTGCTCCAACAGTGGCAGTGGAATACATGGTAGTAAGGACCTGTCACAGCAACTGAGTTTTGGAAAGGATGAGTGACAAGGTGTGGGGTCCGTCTGTGTACTGCACCACTCATAACTTGTGTAACTCCTTACACCCAGCTTCTTTCTCTATCTCCTTGACTTACAATGCACAACACCACTGTTGATATACAAAAAGTTATTGAACATGAGTAAAATATAAAGATAAATAAATTGGCCGTTAAATATTAAATACATATAAAATATTTTAAAATAAATCTTTATGTAAAACAATCTCTAATTTTCTCATACTCAAACTTATTATTATGCATTTTCAAGACAATGCATAGCTAAACACTTGGGTTTCTAATATTTAGAGTTCTTTTAAGGAAATATTTTTAGTTCAAAATTTATTTTCATACTAACAGTACAGCTCTTCAGCTGTCAAAACACCAATATTGAGTGTTTTGTATTCATTAAACTATATTAGACAAACGTACTGCCTTGTCAAATACAGTGGAACCTCAAATTTCGAACTTTTTTTTTTTTTTTTGAACCAACTTTATCCCCATTATTGAACTCGCCCCTATTTTCGAACCGCCGGGTACTGAACCTGTTTAGCAGCACGCTCTGTCCACGTCCCTGCACAGGCGCCGTGAGCCAGTCTGGTTTTGTTGATACTTGAGTGAACACTAACCTGCGCTCTCATTCAAACATTTTACGATTATTTCATTGTGTTTAGCGCTTGTGGGACTGTGAAATAAGCTACCATGGGCCCAAAGGAACTTGCTAGTGGTGCCCCTGTGGTAAAGAAAGTGAGAAACACCACAGATGTGAAGAAGGAAATAATACAGAAGTATGAGAGTGGTGCAAGACTTGTTGAGCTTGCCAGGATGTATGAGAAAAACAAGTCGACCATCGATTCTATCCTGACAAAGAAAGAACAAATCAAGGAAGCTGATGTTGCAAAAGGTATTAATATGCTAACCAAAAAAAAAGACCAGACAATCGATCAGGTTGAGAAGTTGTTGCTGATGTGGATCAAGGATAAAAAGATGGCAGGTGATAGTGTTTCAGAGACCATTTGCGAAAAGGCAAGGAAGCTGCATACCGATCTGGTACAGAAAACTCCTGGAACCAGTGCTGATAGTGAATTTAAGGCCAGCGGAGGCTGGTTTGACAGATTTAAGAAACGTAGTGGCATACACAACGTTGTAAGGCAGCCAGTTCAGACAAACGGGCAGCTGAGAAGTTTGTACAAGAGTTTAAGGTTTACGTAGACACTGAAAAATTAAAACCCCAACAAGTGTTCAATTGTGACAAAACAGGCCTGTTTTGGAAGAAAATGCCAAAGAGGACCTACATTATTCAGGAGGAAAAAGGCACTCCCAGGATACAAGCCTATGAAAGACAGGCTAACTCTTTTATTCTGTGCTAATGCTAGTGATGATTTTAAAGTGAAGCCTTTACTTGTGTATCATTCAGAAGATCCCAAAGTGTTTAAGAAAAACAATGTCATAAGGAACAAGATGTGTCTTGTGGAAATCAAATAAGGCAAGTTTTCAAAGAGTGGGTCCATGAAGTGTTTGGCCCCAGTGTGAGAAAATACCTCCTAGACAATAATATGCCACTGAAGTGCCTCCTGTTAATGGACAATGCTCCTGCTCATTCTCCAAACTTATTAGACCTCTTGTCTAGGGACTTCAGTTTTATAACAGTGAAGTTCTTGCCTCCTAACACCACTCCTCTCTTCCAGCCCATGGACCAGCAGGTCATTTCTAACTTCAAAAAACTCGACACAAAAGCAGTGTTTGAAAAGTGCTTTGAGGTGACCACAGACACTTAAGTTGACCCTAAGAGAGTTCTGGGGGAATCACTTCAATATCTACAGCTCCATAAACCTTATAGGTAAGGCTTGGGAGGGAGTGACTTCCAGGACTTTGAACTGTGCTTGGAGATAAGTGGTCAGATTGCTGGAAGAGCTTCATCTGGAACAGTATCAGACCACAGCTGAGGGCCTTGCTTCAGAGGAGGAAGAGGGAGTGGATGAGGTGCCTTCTTCAAAGATTAAGGAAATTTGTGCCAAGTGGAATGATGTCCAAATGTACCACCCTGAGCAAGCTGAAACAAGCCATCTTTGCAACAAGTTCATTGACAAAAACCATGTCTCATTTTTGGGAAATCTTAGAGGCACCAGAAACAGGACTGTGGACAGTTATTTTGTGAGTGGTCCAGTGACTCTCAAACTGGTCCTAGTGACATTAAAAGACACAGAAGGGAAGTAACCCCAGAGAGGGCTTTGATACCTGAAGTCCTCATGGAGGGGGATTCTCCTTCCAAACACTAGCCCTAACTCCCTCTCTCCTCCTCCCTATCTTCCAGATGCCATCACCAATCTTCAATAAAAGTAAAAATTTTATTTTGTATGTTTATTTACATTTATTAATACATAATTGAACACTGTATTTGTTATATGTAAAACTGTAATTAATCTCTATAAAATGTATTTTTTTGTGAATATTTTTGGGTTTCTGAACGGATTAAGTGTATTTCCATTATTTCTTATGGGAAATATTGTTTCACTTTTCAGACTTTCGAATTTAGAACTAGCCCCTGGACCGGATTAAGTTCGATATTTGAGGTTCCACCGTATAGTCAAGGATACGAAAAGGCGTCGGCTCAAATAATTTAAGTTGATGGCATAAACCCAGAAAAATGGTGGAGGGAGGGGGGGGGGAGTGTCACTCGACCGCTCAGGTCGGGTACACGTCAACTCCTCCAACATAGCAAAGTTTGGTAAGGGAACAGACTTAAAGATGATAAATGCAGACAAGCTCCTGGACCTCAACTATGAGGGAATGTTTACTGTCAGACCACAACACTACTACGAGGGAGGTGCACTGGTAACATCAGGATCTGACCATGTACCAGGTGGACAAAAACTAACCAGAATTTTCGAGCGAAAACTGGAAATTTCAACTTAAGAGTCTGCTGTCCACTCATCCACCAGCTCTACGAGAAGGACCAGGATACATTCTGCTACTACTGTGAACAAGTTAAGAATGAGTAACCTGGAAGACGAGAGTTGAGACAACGTGGGGGATCAACCAGGATTTTTCCACTCAGCTCGCTTGTATAGTAATCGAGTGACTCAAAGGACATGTCAAGTAACACCCTGGAGAAGCAGTCCTACTTTAAGTACCTGGAGAAGGAAGTCAGCTTCCACAGGTTCCTGCCATTGTCAGTGCTCAACTCCATGAAGAACAAAATCTTGTGCCAGGCTCTGCACACACACACCAAAAAGTCTGGTTAATAGTCATTCTGCTGTGTACTCGGGTCTGGCTGCTCAATACCTGAGACCCTGACGGTGAAACCACCTGTGGCTGACTCAGTAAGTCTCGACACACAGCAAGTTTTAAACAAGTGCATAATGTTAGTGGTTTAACTGCTGTCCACCGCAAGACTCTCATCGAGCTGCTCAATATTACATTCTGGTTCATCATAAATACCATGGCTAAAACTGGAATGAACTATGTGAAGCATCAATGGCAACAGAAACTGGTCCAACAGTAGCAACAGCTTTCTTCAAAGCCCCTTCACTTCCCTCACAAACCCAGCATCTTCAGCACTAGATTTGCCTGGGTTATACAGACACTATCATCCTCAGCTTCACATGGGTATACATCTTCAGTGTTAATTCCACCATTGTCCTTAATGTACTGGAAGGCATAGTCCGTAAGTCCACCATTGCAACCATTATTACTATAATTGGTAGAACAGTCAATCAGGTTCTGCTCAGAGAGGCTCACCAGTTTATCACTCAGGCAGAAGTGTATGCCAACTCCTGCTCAGGGACTAGCCTAAAAGACAGAGGCTAGTGTGTCAGGAAGTGTATGCAAGCTCCTTTACTATTCCCTCTAACATATTCCTCTGAAGAATTCTATGTGATGTCACCTGTGACTGTACTTTCCAAGAGTAGCCCTTACAATTTTGGCTCATCTCTGCTCAACACTCGTTCCAGAGGGCCATAGGTGATAACACAATCTCACACCACACTGTTTCCATAAAAGCTTGAACAAATACTTGTTTCTCATCTTAGCTTTTGATGTTGAAAAATGTTGATAATAAGACCAATAGCACTACCAAAGATCTGTATGTATAGAAATTGCACAAAGAGAGAGACACCAGCAGTATCAGGTAGAGCAGTAGCTGAACCAAAAATGCCAACAGCAAGGACGCAGAACAGATTAGTGAAGCCCATATCAACCTGCAGCGAACATCAAGGAACCAGAGAGCAGGTTCTGTTCCAAAATATCACCCTTTCAATACACCAACTAGAACGATATGCTTCGTCCCAGGACAGCAGTGACTCACAGAAAACGACTGTAAATCAAGAGTCTTGGTCTTAAAACTAGGGGCGCAAACAGCACCACCCATGCTAGCTTCCGTCATGTGGATGCTCTTGGCAGCTCCGACACCCGAGAAGGAGACAAGCCAATCTTCGGAGCTCCAAACATATAAGGAGGCACTTACCAAAACCCTGCCAAAATCAACCCTTTCACTCTGCTCAGTAATGGTGTCGCCAATACCAGTACCATGGCCCAAAAGGAAAAACGAAAGTTTCTCCTTTTAAATTTAGTAATATATACAGGAGAAGGGGTTACTAGCCCCTTGCTCCCGGCATTTTAGTCGCCTCTTACGGCTTATGGAGGAAGAATTCTGTTCCACTTCCCCATGGAGATATATATATAATGTCATGCCAAGTAAAACCAGTCAGCAAGAACTCATTTAAAATTAAGTCCTTTCTAAAATTTTCTCTTATACATTTAAAGATATATTTTTTCAATTATGTTAATATAAAAATTAATGATTTTGTACCAAAAGAATCTTCAGGAACTTACCTAGCCTTTTTATAACAAGCTCAACTTAATTTAGCCTAAGCCAACTATAAATATATTTTACACAATTTTACAATAATTTAATAAACAAACACAGTGAAATACAGGTACCATCCGACTTACGACCAAGCTTGGTTCTGACCAACCGGTCATAAGTCAATATGGGTGCAAGTCGAACTTTATTTTTTATGCTGTTAGTACTGTATTTTATACTTTAAGGTTTAGGATAAACACTGTGTACAACACAAACAGTTGTTTATTTCCCAGAAATTTGGCATAAAAA